TCCATCGAAGGACCTCATACAGGTCCGCATTGACGACAAAGTTGGATTGTGGCTCTTATTTTGATATTGTAGTTCCTTGTATATGTTTACTTTTGGTCTCGTATAATTTTTATAAACAAAAACTTATTTTTTATTAAAAAGACATGTCTATGAGATTCTTTTGGGACATTTATATTTTTATGAATGACTGTATGTAGAGATGATAATTATGGTCGTATTCAATAATATGCGATTGAGTATGGATGAATGCACCCGGTGTGGTCAATGTTGAATGATTGCACATGTTATGTTTTGAATAGAGCTCCCTGTACAAAGGAGATTCTGCCCAAATTTTGTTAAATTATGGATCTTAATAAATGAGACGTAATGACGTGGTATTGAGTTACATGATATTCACAGGTATTTCGCAGGCTGATGGGTGATCAACGGGTTAAATGGGACCACCAGAAATTGGGACATCACGATAATAATTGAGGTAAACTAAAAAATCAAAAATTTTTCATAGATGCCGACATTTATAAGTAATATAGATAGACTAGTAATTACCCGTGCCTAAAGACACTCTTAACACATAAAAAAATTGTCAAGCAAATAAAGCATCTAAGAATGTTTTAAATAAAAGAAATTCAAGGGTTGAAATGAAGAAGAATCATATCACATTAATACAATCCGAGAATCCCCATGAATTTAAATTAACATCATTACAAAATTATCATACTATAAATGTTTTATGGCAGCTCTTCTTTTCACCAAATGAGTGTTCATTTTTTTAACTTCTGACTAAATCTAATAAATAGACTGTCTAGTTTTAATAAGAATATCATTAAGAACACACAATTAAATTATTGAATTCAATGAAAACAAATTAACCACATTGAACTACAAATTAAATTTCCAAAAAATAGAAAAAAGCTTAATCGAACTAACATTGCCTAGCGAATCTGTTAGTAGTTGCGAGGATAATTGATTTGAATTCCTTGTTGTTGTGACTTCTCGGATTCTATAGAAATATTCTCACGCTACAATTAAATTAAATCAAAAAAATAAAATTTTTACCACTTAAAAAAAAGATTGATTTAACTAACTTTTTATCGTTTCGGTATCTATTTTGCACTATTCAAGTATTCAAAAAAATATGAACATTAGCAAAGAAAAAGTGATGCTAATAAAGGGAAAAAAATGTTATAGTTGGTTTTGATTTTTTTTTTTTGCAATTGGTTTTACTTATTTTTTATATTAGTAATTAGCTTGACTTTGAATTTTTTAGTTTTTTTTGTATAATTGATATTACTTATTATTTTTTTATTGGAGATTAGCTTGACTTTGATTTTTTTATTTTTTTGGTGCAATTAGCATCACTTATTTTTTTTTATTGGTGATTAGCTTGATTCTGATTTTTTTTTGTGTAATTAGTATTAATTATTTTTTTATTGATGATTAACTTGATTCTGAATTTTTTTTTTTTTTTGTAATTAGTATCACTTGTTATTTTTTTTTATTGATGATTAACTTGATTTTGAATTTTTTTGAGCAAACAAGTCTAATTAGAATCGTCAAGACAAACAGTGTTAAGAGAGAGAGAGAGAGAGAAGAGAGTATGAGAGATGTGAGAGTGTGTTTAAAATGTCTGAAAGAGAGAAAGAGTTATATACGTATGAGAGTTGGGTGTATGAGATAAAGTGAGAGAGAGAGTTATATGAGAGATGTGAGTCTTAGAGTTATAAAAAGAATAAAAATTCAATTAGGATCGTTAGATTAATAATCCTTAAACAATCTGAGTTGTGAAAACTAAAGTCAAATCATCTAACTACTTTATTATATAGATATAGATTTGTTCAGTTATTTTAATTTTACTAATATTAAAATAGCAATGAGCTTAATGGAAATCTAATTTGATGTTTTAATGTTTTGTCGTCATTGAATTGTAGTGAGTCTCACCATTAAATGTAACCTATTTGCTAAACCAACAATAGGAATGCATAGGTATCTAAATTAAGTTCTCAAATTAAGTACATGTAATATTTTGTTGTTAAAATATGCCCCCATTATCATAAATTTTTGGCTCCAAATTCGTACTTAGCAAACATACAAAGCATTGATCAATGTATACCATTAAAACACATGACTCAATATATATGACTTAATATATACGCTCATATGGATATTCAAACGATCACAATTTCAATAACACCCAAAAATTGTCAAGATTGGATGTAGTTTCATCGTTTGATCTTCTTGTCAAAACGAATCTCTCTATTTTTCTTCTCTCTCCCTTGTTCTCTTTCGCCCCTTCCTCTATTTCCTCCAACATAAGTAGATTAGTCACAACAATGGAAACTATAAGTCTTATAAAATCAAGAAAAAATAACCAATAAGTCTTTTTTTATATATCAAATTTCCATGAAGTCTTATGAATCTTCATTAGTACCAATAAGTCTTACTTGTTTATAATAAATGATTATAAATAGATACATAATCTACTTCAGGTCATGTTTTAGCCCTTATAACAATAAAAATATTTGTACTATTAACTTTAAATAGTAATAATTTAATAAATTATAAGTCATAAAACAAATATCTAAACTAGACTTCTGAGAAAAACATATACGAATGACTAAGGGAATTAAGGGTGCATATGGTATTGCTTTTTTTTTTTTTTTTTTTGTGGTAAAAAATTTGAATAAAAAACTTGTTTACTTACAACTTCTGTTTAATAAATTTTAAAAAACTAAAACAAAAAACATGTTTGATAACTACTTAAATTTTTGTCCTATTTAGTAATTTTATATTAATTCCCTATTAAAAAAACACATCAAAATTCTTTATCCCAATATATCCATCAACTAATCAAATAAGATACAAAACAAAATAGTAGAAAATCCTTAAAGCATTAAACATACTAATAAATCCCATTTTTCAATTCCACAAAAATGGCAAATACATATCGTAGCACGTCCATGGCTACACAAGTTGACAGTGTCAACAGAGTTGCTCAGAAGATGCCTTGCAACTATCCTAAGAGTTATTTTATTTCCATGAACCAATAATTTCTCGGGATGACAATCATTATCTCACAACCACCACTAGTGTCACTCAATTTTGAACCACATGCATTGCAGAATTGGAATTTATACCAGCAACGTGTAACTCCACAATACAAACCCTTCAAATATTGATAAGAAAGAAAACAAAAGATGGGTTCCAAAAAGGAATTCCTACTTGATGGTAAACATGCCGAAACCCCCTACTAATGGTATGTTTCACCAGATCACTCTTTCTCAATGGTGGATACGGAGTCTTCTATAAAAATGCCCAAGTCGATTCTTTATTTATGTTTCACCAGCGTAAGTAGATCATCCAGAACAGCAAGAAACGATAAGGCTCTTTCTGGCCAGTTTAATTGACTTCCCCTGCCACTACCTCCAGAGGACACCACCATTCCATTGTTCTTTTTGTTTTTTGGTTGGACATTCCATTGTTCATTGAGGCTGAAAATCTAACTCAATAATCTCCAACCCACAGCCAAAAGATTCTGTATAATAACACTTATCGAACTCCAAAGTCATTTGATATACAAGTTGAAAAAAAAAATCATTGAGACATCATGCTGATCATAAGTATACATATCTCTGACCTTGAAGATCTCGAAAAAAACGAAGCTCTATCCAAGAGTTAATAAACACATCAACTAATATAATCCAACATAATTTGTACAAAAAACTCAACTTCAAGAAATCCACATGTTGCCAATGAAAAAACTGTAAAATTCGAGTATATCAAGTAGAACTAAGAATATTCCAGTAATCCAATATCAACAGATGCTTTGGGTAGGCCCTTAAAAAAGCTTATAGATCCATCAACTGGTCACCTGTATCCTTTTTCATCCGTAGTCAAATAGGGTCGATAACCATCTGCCTCGGCAAAAAAATTTCTGACGTTATTTCAAGAAAGATGATGATCCAATGGAAGCTTTTTTAGAGCAGTTGGTAGTTGATTGTCAAAGACACCATACAAGATTCTCTAGAAAAAAATCAACGAGGCAAATTGAAAACCTAATGCAAACAAAGATATCTGTCCCAATGGCATCGAAATCATAGGACGTTATGGACATGGCAATTTTTTGTCCAACAGGTTCACAATGTACCACAAAATAATGAGCCAAATATTTAGATAAACCAATATTCGAATTTACTAGCATGCATTGTATCAACACAGGAGCACGATGTATTAGATGCATATTATGATTTTGGAGATGGATTTGATTAGAAAAGGTAGGAATGGTTATAAGGACTAGTGTAGTGATACTGTCATTCATTTCTTATACAATAAGACGTCTCCTCTTTGCCCAGATTCTAAAATCTGATCTCAAACACTACATCCATCTTCCTGCAAAATGGCGTTCAAAGTTTAGCAGCAGTAATGATCACTCCATCCTATGAGGGCATTGGGGGGAAAATTTTCCTTCTCGACTCCCAGCACACCATTATGGTTACAGAACATAAGATTGCTGCTAGAGATTTACTTCTCACTAAGATATTAATGATGATGTCCATGAAATTACAAATTTACAAAGGGTGAATGGTTGAAGACCATGTATTGAATGGTAGACTGAAGAAACGTCTGGCCTTCTGTGATGTCTCCAGGAGACAGCACCATACCATGTACAACTGGAGGCTGAAATTCTAACCCATTAATCTCCAATCCACTTCCAAAAGATTCCATAGAATAACAGTTATGATGCTCAATTTTTATAGAACTACTCTGACAGCAGGGTGAAAATTTATATCCAATATGCAATAAACTTGTAAATCTACAATGACGTTGGAAAAGCTAATCAAATTTAGGTAAAAATGGATTAAAGAACATAAAGAATCTCTCTGTTGGGCATAGAAATTGACAAACCATTGAGACGTCAGGCTTATTGTAAGTATGCATATATCTGACCTTGAAGCATGATAAAAACCCGAGGGTCTATCCAATATTAGTAAACCCATCGACTACTAAAATCCAACGTACTGCATATCAAGTAATGACTGAGAATATTGCAGTATAAAAGCTTCGGTCGGGACCTTAAACCAGAATCTTTTGCTGTGCCCGTAAAAAGCAATCAAAAGGGAATGACGACTTTCAATTTGTCTTTTGTATCCTTTTCCAGGAGCAATCAAATGGGATTGACAACCATCTGCCTCTGCAGCAACTTCTTTTCTGGCATTATTTTGAAGAAAATTAATGATCCACCATGAGCCTGTATAAAGCTGCTGGTAGTTGATTGTCAAAGACACAACATATACGATCTCCACCTGGCCACCTGAAAAATAAATTTATGACCTTATAACATTCCCCAGAAAGAAAGCAAAGTAGGAAATGACCAAAGCAGATAAAAGGATAACATCGGTTTCATTGCTTAAATGAGACAATAAGAAAAGAATACCTAGAGCTCCTCAACTTCAGCCATGCCAGCATTCAACAATGCTCAACAGTGAAAACATTATGTGGTGACTTCCCAGTCTGGAGGGCTGATAAGTATCCGCAGCAAATCATTTGCCTTGATTTGTTGCTGTTCCTCAATTTGTCTTGCAGATTCTGTAGCAGAGGGGCTACAACCAATCAGCTCAATAATCTCTAGTGTGTGTATATCCCCCATTTCAGAAGGGATTTCCTTGAGTCGAGAACATCTTTGCAGCATCAAATGCCGAAGGCATGGAAAGTGTGTACTAGAGGCTTTCCATTGCACAATATTCGAGTGGAAAATTTTCAACAGTTTGAGTCGCCGAAACCCCCCATCAGTAGTTTCCCACTTGCCTCCTATGCAGGCATGAAATTTTAATTTTAGAACCTCCAGGTTAGGCAACATCCCAAGAAATGTCATTTCCTCCCACTTGATATCAGTATTTGACAAAGTTAGCCTTTTGAGATTTGGGGGAAACCTCTCCCATTGCAGATTGCGTGACCGGCGGATGTGGGCATTCGTGTCCAAAAACTTCAGTGTTTCGAGGTGGTTTAGAAAGTCTAGATCAGGGAATGTTACACAACCGTACTCTGACTTCATAGGTCCACAAAATACCAGCTTTCTAAGACTGGGAGTTCTTTCAAATACACTGTGCCGAGAACTAGAAAGACTTACTTGTGAGATGGTTTGGAGGTTATTCAATGAAGAATGATAGTCATCAATAGTCGATGGTGCATTCAGACAAGGCTTTTCGAAATTATTTTCTCCTGACGTAATAAGCAGATGCCTCAACTTTACAATCTTCCAAATAGTTTGCGGTACAGTAACATTGGTCCTTGATGATATTATTAATGTTTCTAGGTTCCAAAGGTTGGATATTGAAGCTGGAGGACCACCATCTCTAATATGAAGCGCTAAATACTTCAAATGAACAAGTTGTAATATTCCCTCTGGAAAACAGATTATAGGGATGGATGAGAAATCTAGAACCCTTAGATTTCTTAAACTCTTTGCCAAACCTGGAAAAGCAAAAACTTGTTCGTTACCTTCAACATGCAGAAAAAATTTCTCTTCGTCAGCTTTTTTCAAGCATAAAACACGCAGCAGATCATGGAGACAACATGCTTTAACTCCACCATCAGACCTTTTTTTGGCTACTAATACTAGACTTCTGTCAATTAGATCCATCAAGTAACCGTGTGCAATGTCTTCCGAGCTCTTTTGCTCACTTTTCGGAATAAATCCCATAGCTATCCATAACCAGACCAACTTCCACACAGGAATATCATAGTTTTCTGGGAATGCTCCACAATAGAGAAAGCATACTTTCAAGTAATTGGGCAAGTGGTCGTAACTGACTGCTAGTATGTCCATGCACTGATTTGATTCTGTAACAATGTATGAACTTACAAGGTCAGCAACTTCGTTCCACTGCTCTGGTGTTTTTCTCATCTTTGAAAGGTGTCCGGCTATTACAACTATTGTAAGAGGTAGTCCAAGACAATTTGTTGCAATTCGCTTTCCAATGTCCACCAGCTCTGGAGGGCAATATAAACTCTGATATATCTTCTGTCGCAATAGTTCCCAACTTTCTTCGTGGGTTAAGAATCGCAGATGATGAGAGCTATTAGATTTAGCACCGAGAGCAATATTTTTCATTCGACTAGTGAACATTATTCTACTGCCATTATTGTCATTTGGAAAAGATTGTCCAAAATCATACCAGACCCTATTATGCCAAATGTCATCCAACACGACTAGATACCTCTTACCCTTTAGGCGTTTGCGCAGCTCATCACCTAATTTGTCATCACTCATTTCTGCAATTTCATCTCTAAGCTGAAAAGCACAATATAAAATGTCGAGGAGCACATCTCTCTTTGTATATGCTTGAGACACATGGGCCCAACCCCGAATGTAGAAGTGATACACCACAAAAGGATCAGTGTAGACTTTTCTGGCCAGTGTTGTCTTCCCCAGTCCAGGCATTCCCACAATGGAGACAACATTTAGCTTTTCCTGCCCTGTTAGTTGCTCTTTGATGGTCTCTGCTTCATGGTCAAAGCCAACCACAATTTCCTTATCTACGTCACAAATACTGACCGTTGATGGACCTCTTTTGGTTGTCTGCTTTTCTTTACAATTTCTCCACGTTGACAAACTTCCACCAGCCACGATTTTCAATACATTGGAAGTATTTGTGATAAAAGAACTTCCATGGGGAGTAACCTCAACTCGTGGGATTTTGATGCAAATTTTTGGGTAATAATGATTCCTGACTTCTTTTTTTATAGTCATTTTCATATCTTCATTAAAATAACCCATTTCTGGACACTTCTCAATATCTTTGATGTAAGCAAGTTCTAGAGAAGCTTCAAACTTAAAGGAAAAAACAAGTGTCACAATCACGTATGAACTTATACTTTGGGCAACTTGCTCCCATAAATATTGGGTCTTCTCTTCCTTCGCAAGAAGTCCTCCTATGACTATAATTGTGAGGGGCAGTCCATGAGATTTTGCTGCTATTTGCTTTCCTATATCACTCAACTCTTGAGGGCATCTCTCTTCCCCAAATACCTTCTTCTGCAAAAGAACCCAACTATCATCTAGAGTTAAAAGAGGCAGCAAATAAGGAGGACTAAGAGGTTGAATTGCCCAAGCCACATCCTTGTGTCGAGTAGCGAGCATTATTTTACTTCCATTGTTGTCATCTGGAAAGGATTTCTTCAAATAGCTCCAGACACTGACATCCCATATATCATCAATGATAACAAGATACCTATGGCCTTTCAAATATCTGTGAAGCACTTCACATAGGTCTTCATGATTCATCTTAGAAATTTGATCAGTGATCAGGACAGCAGAATTTAGAATTCCAGGCGAAAAATCTCGCGATTGATCTGGTGTAGAAACATGGATCCATGCACGAACATTGAAGTGATATGTAATGAGAAGATCATTGTACAATTTGTTGGCCAGAGTTGTCTTACCAATTCCAGCCATACCGACAATGGACACTACTTGTAACTGCTTTTGTCCTTCAGTAAGCCGCTCCACTATTCCTACCATCTCCTCATCAAAGCCTACCACCATTTCTTCCTCTATCATTATGGGGTATGATCTCTCTGAATTTCCAACACTACAAGACCTTCCAAAATGCAAGTTCACCACAGTTGTTTCCTCTGCCACTAGTGGATCTGCTCTTGATGAACATTCACCAGATTGTGGCACTTGCTGGAATTTGATACCATACGTCTCGATACAAATTTGAAGCGCCTCTTCCTTGAAAGCTTTAAGATCTTCTATGAGAGTCATAAGTTTTTTCCTCACATCACAGACATCTTCTGAATGTGAGATAACATCTTTGACACATATGAGCTTTTCCCTTGAATCATATACTCCCGGTACAAATGATGTGATGACATCGCTTGCCTTGTCTTTGACATCATAAATGTTTTTCACCACAGTTTTCACTTCATTATACTCAAAGTGTTTCTCAGCCAATCCCTTTACAAAAGTCATCAGGAGTTTCAGCTCTTTGTACAGAGGTTGGATCTGGTACTGCTGATCAGAAATCAAAACACGTAGCTCGTCTAATGTCCACAATAGTATATCCAAGTAACTTTCAGCCAGCGTCTCTTCCACAAGTTTTGGCAGAAACCCTGAACCTATGGAAGCAGAAATTGGTTAAGTAAGTCAAGGAAATATTTGCAAAATGTTATTATACTTTAACTGAAAAACAATATGGAGAGTTCCTGTATTTTGATATGCATAATTACCATCCAATTCATGATTATGAATAGTTGATCTAATTTTCATCTGATATGACACCCCTTTGGACACTTTAATATGACAACCCATAATTCTATCTGTCAAACCACCACGAAATTGACACCAAATGATCAGATAAGTAGACCCACCTAACAAGGGGTTGCCTCCAAAAATATGTTAATTTGCTGCAATATACAGAGTTGTACCTAAGCATCCTAACCCTTATCCTACCTTCCCTCTCTTACGCACACCATTGCACGCATGCAGAACACACAATAAAATAAACAGACAAACAAATAAAACATGTGCTCGAACAAGCACGCACGAAGAACATACACAAACACAAATCCTACTGTTGCTCTTGTAAAGAAACATCAATAAATGCAAAAACGATTGAAGTGATCTGTAGTGGAAGCATAATTGTACACTTTTCGAGCCAGTGTTATGTCTTACTAATTCCAGGCATGCCAACAATCGATGACACTTGTGGATTCTTTTGTCCCTCAACAAGTGGCTCCACTGGCACCTTGGTTTCTTCCTCTATCATGAAGTCATCCGCTCTCGATGAATTGCCAATATGAGAACAGTTTCCCAATTCCAAGCGCACCATAGCTTTTTCCTCAACTATTGGGGTATCCCGACCGCCAAATTCTTGCACTTGCGCAGCTGTAACGAGAGCCTTAAGATATTGTATGACACGGATGAGTATTGCCTTGGTATCATTAGTGATGAAGCCCAATAATTTGACGATATTGGCATGTTTTTTGATCCCCAGAACTTTCACTTCACTATGGTCATTGTGTTTGGCAGCCAGTTTCTTGATGATGGTCCTCATGAGTCTCAGCTCATTGTGGGAGCTCCAACTCTTCAAACAATCATACCCCTCAAGTAGCAGGTCCAACTCTTTAAATAGAATATCCAAAAAAGCAGTTTCAGCCATCTCCTTCTCAAGTTTTCTGCAGGAAGAACTGTGAACCTCTGGAAGAAGGAGCTGGTTTCATAAAAGTAAAGGAAACATCTGAGTGCAACTATGGCTGTTGATAGCCTTTATGCAATCCTTTAGTACTAATGGAGAGTAGCTTTATCCGAGCCGAACCCAATCCTTTGACAGCCTTTATGCAATCCTTGATTATGAAATTTTCTGCTCGGAAGACAAAATCAAGTGGAGAGTAGCTTTATTGAATGCTTTAGTACTAATGAATTGTAAAGTGCTTGACCCACCACTTCATTTGGCCAGCAAATTCATCTTTGTACTTTTGCTCATTTGCACAATAACTACAACAGCGCTATGGACTTCATATGCCTATAAATTAGCATTTGTTGAAAACACTACTACGTTTGATACATGGTATTAGACTTTAGGAATGAAATGAACATTTCATGAGAATGTCTATTCTAATGTTTGGTTTGCAGGATTTAAAATCCATTCTCATTCCAAAGGAATATCTAATCCCACAAATTATGGGATTAGGCATTATCAAATCCAACATGGTATTTTCCGTTCCCAATCCGCTCGGTAATAGCCCAATCCATCTGAAATAAGAAAACCCGATCGCCCAAATCTAATGTTTGGTTTGCTGATCTCTCATCTGCCTCTCTGGTCTCGTCTCTCTCTCATCAAATCTGCGTCTGGACTCCATCTCTGTGGAGGCCCGCTGCTTTCAATCTCGGAGCTTCAGTCTCAACGAAACAAGGATAAGATTGTTTACAAAGAACATCTAAGACGAGCTCAAATCTAACACAATTTCAGGTAATTTTTAGATCTAACCTAGAATTGTAGAATTTTGTAATTTTCTTCGGAAAAATTTGCTTTATGAGTAATTTTTAGCTAGCCTATCGTTGTAAGTTTCTTTACAATATGCATGGAAGCACCTTTTTGTAGTCGGATTATCGCTAGCTGTAGAAGATGCTTAAGTTTTGATGTTGATTTGGTGCTTACCAGCATTGTTCTGTTCGAATTCCAATGGTAGACGATGCCCACTAACTGTCCTCTTGAAAGAAGGCATATACATAATAGGGAGATAAAATAAAGAAAAGTTTCAAACTTGGTTCATCGTTTTTGTGGTGATGATGAAAGGGCTTGTGTCATGGAACAAAAAATTGGGTTGCTTGAATATATTGCTATTAGCCTGCGTGATGTTTATTTTACAAAAGAGTGGAGATTAAGGTATCAACCCTTACTGGACATGTATGAAGCTTTTTTCAGGAGATGATTGGAAGATGTGAAGAAGAGCATGATTCTTTTTGGGCATCTATGATTTGAAGTATCTCATTCTTAGGGTTTCTGAAAGAAAATTCCTTATTTGGGAAGGCTCTAACATTGAGGACGGCAAATGTTGGCTTGCCTTTTCCCTGTTGCAACTTTTCAGGAAAAGGGTTAGCATTATAGTTTTTAAGCGACCTGCTGATCAAAGAATTCCTACAGTTTAGGTGTTGGGTATTTTGTCAAATGAAAGACAAGACAAAACGCACAAATATGATGTGATTGAGTTACTACCGTAAAACTCACTCTCACGGAGAAAAAGAATTGCTAATTTAATTTTTTGATCAAAGCTTGATACTTGCTGTCTTGGCCTTGTATTACTAATTTAATTTATATATATGTGAATCAGTTTAGTTCCAGACTACTCCAAAAGCAACCAACTCAGCATAAAACAGGGGATGGTGCATTAAGATGTCAAAACCTTCCAAAACCCAATGTCCCATGGTTTCAAGTCTTAAAATTGGGGAAAGTGGGATCTAAGGCTGTGGTTGTGGCCACGATCTGAGCAAGCAGGATGGTTTGAACTGAAGTACTATGTACCCAAAAGAATTAATGATGGAGTTATTGTTCAGCCCCCTAAGGACGTTGTTGAAAGGGGTTGTGTGGAATGGAAACAATTTCTTGTGGGCTATTTTATAGAGAAGAAACTCCTTTTCTTCTCAGTCAAATACATAGCTCATAAGATTTGGGACAGTATGGGCTTGCTGGAAGTCCTGGCTAATGACAAGGGTTTCTTCTTCTTTAAATTCCAAGATGAGGAGGTTAGAATGTAGGTAGTTAAGGTAGATCCCTAGCTCTTTATGAGCAGGCCATTAATTCACAGGAAATGGGAAGCCTCTACAATTTTGAAGGATTAAAGCCATGAGTTGGCTTCTTTGTTTCTTGTAATTCTTGGATTTATCAATAAATTTCTTCTTTTTTAAAAAAAAATTCACTTGCTGACTTCCATGACAATTACCAGGTTTATAGTCTTCACTTTGACATTAACACCTCTTTTCATGCTTGTTTGATCATTTACTGCACTTGAATTTAGTAGTTCATATAATCTTTTCACAACTACATCAGGGATTAGATGCCAATATACCCAATCGAAGCAAGGATAGATGTAGCAGGTCTCGTAGTGGAAAATGATGCACATGATGATCGTATTATCACGGTTGAAACATCTAACGAGTGGTCAATATTTAGATTAAATTTGGCAAATAAAATGTTTGATGAGTGGAGAGCAAGTAGACAAAGAGTGTAATTTTTTGTACCTATATTTGAGAATGATTTTGTTTCTTGGAATTTTACCTCCAAAGCTATTGAAATGAAATGAATGGAATTTAAGAATTTCTATTTTATTCAACTTATTTTTGTTTTCTATATACTGTTGATTATTTTTTGGACTTGTTTTTTATCGATTTATTTTTTGATTCAACTTACATGTTCAGATGAGATTCCTAGTTGTCTTAATAGTTTTCTTTTTGGGTTTGCATACGTGCTTTATTAAATTCACAAAAAACTATAGTTGTTCGTTTGAAATTTATAATTATAAATTTGAAGGATTTATCCTATTTTTGAAGGAATTTATTTTCTAATTTTTTTAAATTTATAGGTGTTTAATTTTTTCAATGGATTCTCATTTTTTCTAATTATAAATTTTTTTACACAACTTTTTAAGGCAATCACAATCATAAAAAAAAATTGTTATTAATTATTTTTAGTCACTATAGATATTTTGGTTAAAGTTGATTTCATTCTAATGAAAAATTGTTTTATTCAAACATAAGAATGGAATGAACATTCCATTCCAGCACTTATCCTAAACAGTTGTCAAACATTGGAATGATAATGCGCATTCTATTTCATTTTCAAGTTCATTTCATTTTCAAACTCATTCCATTCCTTTTGAAAAGTATTACTGCGTATCAAACGCAATATTTCGTGCCTGAAAATACAGTGCAATGTGAATAATTTTGAAAGGAATATTAGTGGTCGTTAGATGAGTCTATTTGAAATCATTAGATGGATTTATTGACCTTATTTTATATTATAAACTAAGAATAATCCGTATCTAAAGGTACGGTATAATGTGAATAATTTTGATACAGAAGTTAGTAGTCATTGGATTAGTCTATTTGACACCACTAGATAAATTTATTAAAATTCGTCATATTTTATATTATTGATGTAGGAGTGGATGACCACACACCCCCACATCCATTACATCATTAAATTCATTGTCCAATCTCCACCGACAGTCTTACGAGGCTTTTAAGTTTTAAGACATTGTGTATATTTGCCTATAAAAGGCATACGAAATGAATCACAAAGTGCGATAGAAAAGTGACAAAAAGAAAATTGTCATTGTAAAGATCTAACACATTGATATATTAAGTTTCTAAATGCTTTATTTTTTTATATAATTTTGTGTTTTACTCTCTTAATATTTTGTTTATTTCACATCATGTTATCTCTAATCATCGCAATGTGCACATTTTTAATATTTTTTTATATAGTATTAGAAGTAATTATTAGGAAGTTATTTTAGTAAATGAATTATTGATAGAATATTTTGTGGATAGTTTTTTAAGTAGTTACTAAGATAGTAGAGTCATAAGTTATGTTAGTCATCTTGTATTTAAAGGTTTTACTATCAATGAAATGGATAAATTGAATATTATGATAAACTTTCTTGTGGAAGTATTGGAGATAAGTTCTTCTTGAATTAAACAAATGGAGGTTTTCAACTCTCCTCGAAGCGGGTTTTCTTGCCCTATTCTTCTTTTATTTTCTAAATTTTTAAAGTGTGCATGTAACAATTTATATGAGAGCTGATGATCCTATTGATGACTATCTCATTGGAAATTTTGAAATTGATGCATGAAAATTTTCAAACAATGTTCAAAGGATTGATTGAGTTAAATCAACACATGCAAGAAGCCTTCAATAGACTTCAGAAAATCTTTCAAGACGAAAATTTGAATGCGGGTCAACATTGTCAATCTGAAGAAGTTTATGATTAAAAGAGATTGGAGATAAATAAAATTAAAGGAAAACGAACCACAAAGGATTACTTGGTTCGACAAATTACTTACATCCACGGACCTAACGTCCTATGGGTTACATCGATGTATTATTGAAGGTAACTGTTTACATAAGATTCAACCTTATTTATAGGGTGAGAAATAAATTAGATAAAACTAAAATATATCACTCTATCTATCATCATTTTATCCCAATTGGGGATATTAATAGATCTATATGAATCCTATTATATCTCTAATACAATCGATTGGCCAAGAAGAAAAATGCGTTGTTTATGAAGCATCAAGCAAAGGGATTGGTGGAATTGTAATAAGTGAGGCTAAAAGTTTAGATGCTATAAAGTTCAATGTTGCAGTTCAAATGTTTTTTGATGAAAAAAACTGATTATTTTGGTTGTTATGAGGACATGGAAGTTTCTTGTAACATATTGAGAAACTTACTCTCAAACCCCTCAATTACTTCAGTTGTTACTTGTTAGCATTTTGCCTCATTTTCTTGCAAGTTGCAACGGCTACCTTTTCCTTCCTCTTTGTCTGTATCTTTGGTCTTTCTCCCCCAATCTTTTCCATCTTGACTATTCCCTTTCTTAGTTTCTTCCTCTAAGAGGCGGCCCAAGGTTAATGGAGGCCCATGCGAAAACTTCATATGACCCGATTAATTTGAA